AAAATATCAAACAGTATAAAATACGATTATGGCTGTGCGAGATTCACAATTAAGTAGGATAACACGGAGAAGTAAAGTTTCAATTGAACTGGAAACGGAATTGTGGCAGGGTTGGAGGGAGAGAGTGATTCGGTCGACTGTTAAAAAATAGGGATGTCATAAACTGTCATATATATAGAATCAAATCTAGGAAATACAATAAGATAAATGTAGCTCACATATATTATATCATAATCAGAAAATATGTACAGAGGTGATAAAAAACACATCGACAACGAACGAGACAACACATCCAACGAGCGAGCCACTATTATATGATTATATAGCTGTAAAGAGCGATAGATATATATATACATATATATATATATAAAATATTTATATATATATAATACGACCAAGATGGTCTTGTCCACACGAATATGGATTAGACGGGGGTTTTGGGAAATTAGACGGCGGGACAATGGATTTAAGAAACGTACAATAAATTCGATACTCTCGGAGTAAAGGGTCGTTGCTGTCGTACGGTCGGTAGACGCTCTAAGATCGCGATTTCTCTCATTACATTCAGCATCTCACTTTCGGCCCATTGTGCCGATCTGTAGAATTCTAAGAGCGTCCACGCCACGCACGCCTCGGTAACGAGGCATCAATAGTGTGATGTAACGGCGGTGCGTAATAAACAGCAAAAAAACACGAACGACAGGTTTACGGCTACAGGTTCAGTCACGCATGTGGGTACGCACAACACTGTCTATAATACCTTCTGTAATGCGTAAAACGATGCGTATCATCGTGCCGGATGAGAAACGGATGAGAAGGGGATGGCGAGAGACAGGCATAGAGGAGCCCAATAGCAATATCGTTATCGTCGCGCGGATAAAAAGAAGGCGCGCGCGAGATTTATTCGCGATCGAATTTTCATCATCCGAGAGCGTCTCGAGAATTTTGTCAGCGAGAGAAGATTTTGACTTTTGAAATTATTTTTGGGGAAAATCGTATATACGAGCCAATTGTTCGAGCCAATCCAAAGCCAAATCTGTTTGAATTCCATGTCCTAAATCCACGCGAGAGAGAGTCCTAATGAGTCGCGCGTGTGTATGTCGAAAGTTTCGAAACTCGAAATGTTTTGCGGAAGAATTTGGACTAGCACCGTGCACGTTTGTGCAATTTAGCCTCCTCGACGGATACGTACCGGCTGCACTAGTCGGGCTAAGGGATAGTCGGTTCGTGAGGGAATGCTGGAGTTCGGTGGTTCAAAC